CGAAGCCAACTCTTCAGACAGGGGTTGGACTGGACTGTGGGACATAAAGTGATACTCGTGAGGAGTGTGCCTCTTAGCTCAAGTAGATACAAGAGATTAAATGGGCAGCTTCTGTCTGGAGGTGAGATGGGAAGGCAGAGAGGGTTAGGAGCTGGTTGAATGGTCATGGGGTATCAGGGGTGGAAAGTAGGAGTATGCTGTCACAGTATGGGGAGAACAATTAGGGTCACATAACAATGTATGTATAAATTTTCCTATGGGTGACTAACTTGAAATGTAAACTTCATTTAAACTACTACAATAAAGAAACAAAAAAAATTTTAAAAGTCTTCCATTTTCAAGATCAAAGTCTTCTAATATTTCAAAAAGCACTGCAGTATATTTTTATACATAAAGCTCAGAATACACTGACTCTCTCAAAGACATAAATTCCCAACTTGTCATCAGTCTGAGAATCCAGAACACCCTGCAGTATTTTTTATCATGTCATTTACTTCAGTAGTTCTTAATCCTGGCTGCATTTTGGAATGATAAGTGGAGTTTTGTTGAATTTTTTTGGTAACCAATATCTGGACTCAGTCCCATATTGGTCATATCAAAACCTCCAAGGTTGGGCTTTGGCCTTGGAAAGAAAGAGAGTATGATTAAATGAGAGTTTACTTTTATCTCTATCAGCAGGCCAAAGTCCGCTCAGAATGGATTACAGCACATCTATCTGATTGGCCATCTTATTCATCAGAATGACAAGTTAAGCAGTAGGGAGTATGAGGATCTTTGGATTAGAAGCCCGTAGTTGCCTGAGTAAGAAGAAAAAGCTTCAATGGATCCAGTGGTGGTCCTGGTGCTCTGTCTCTCCAGTTTGCTTCTCTTTTCACTCTGGAAGCAGAGGTATGGGAAAGGGAAGCTCCCGCCCGGCCCCACTCCTCTCCCAATTATTGGAAATATCCTGCATGTAGATGTGAAGGACATCAGCAGTTCCCTACGCAATGTAAGTATGTTTTATGCTCCCCAGTGGCTTCCAGGGGGTAAGTAAATTAACCCCTACTTTTAAATATAATGTATTCCTAGAAGCAAAGTATTAAAATAGATCATCTTAAAGCAAAATACTCCTTGTGGGGATTGTTGTTTCTGTTGCCCTTTTTTTTTTTGGTCTTTCATCTTCAGAAATAAAGGGATGAAGTAATGTATTATGCCAGGTGAGAAAAATTTGGTTCAGTTGTTGTAGAACAGAAACAAAACAATGAAGTGAAGTGGCAAAAGGAGGCAGCAAGCCTGCCTTTTATTGTTTCACAGTCCTTTGCTGTGATTTTTTTGGCTGTAAGTAAATAGTGTTGGAAGTAGTTTGTGATTAGAAAGTCCATTCAGGAGTCACCTATGGTATAAGCCATGTGTTTTGTTCAGATTAGCCATGAAAATTAAACTTCTCCTAAGAAGATGATTACGCCTGAATCAAGGGAATAGATTTGGGTTGAGGACCAGCCTGGGTGAATGAAACAAAGCAGTAATCAGGAAGTTCCTGGTGGTTACGGCATCCTTTTGGACACTGCATGGAGCTGCTGCCTGTGGCCTGGGAATGCCACAGGATGGAAGAAATAATTCTTGCATGAGATGCTGCCTCTCCTAGCACTGCCTCTATGGTGCTCATTCTCTTTCTGTGTGAGTAATACCTGCAGATTTCAAACTAGGCTTGGCTTGGAATCATAAATGGGCTGATTTTCAAAAATACAGATTTCTAGTATTCATCACAGTTCTACTGAATAGAATCCTCATGGGAAGAGATTTACAAAACAGCCAGCTGGATATTGGTACAAAGGTAGGCACTGGGGATAAAACATTGTCCATGTATCAGAAACCAACCAAGCAAAGGTTCAAATCTGGGTATTCTCATTGGCTGAAAGTAGAGAATACCAGAAAGATGTTTGCCTGTGTTTTATTGACTATGCATAGGCATTTGACTGTGTGGATCATAACAAATTATGGACAACATTTCAAAGAATTGGAATTCCAGAACATATAATAGTGCTCGTGAGGAACCTGTACATAGATCAACAGGCAGTCGTTCAAATAGAACAAAGGAATACTGCATGGTTTAAAGTTAAGAAAGGTGTATGTCAGCGTTGGATCCTTTCACTATACTTATTTAATCTGTATGCTGAGCAAAAATTCCAGAAGTTGGAATATATGAAAAAGAGCAAGGCATCAGGATTGGCGGAAGACTTATTAACAACCCACGTTATGCAGACACAACCTTGCTTGCTGAAAGGAAGAGGACTTGAGGCACTTACTGATGAAGATCAAAGACCACAGCCTTCAGTATGGATTACACCTCAACTAAAGAAAACAAAAATCCTAACAATTGAACTGTCTTAGTCATCTAGTGCTGCTATAACAGAAATATCACAAGCGGATGGCTTTAACTAACAGAAGTTTATTCTCTCACAGTCCAGTAGACAAGTCCAAATTCAGGGCGTCAGCTCCAAGGAAACACTTTGTCTTTTCATCAGCTCTGGAGGAAGGTCTGTGTCATCAATCTTCCCTTGCTTCTCTGCACAGGAACCTCAGGTCCAAAGGATGCGCTCTGCTCCTGGCACTGCTTTCTTGGTGGCATGAGGTTCCCATGTGTCTCTGCTTGCTTCTCTCTTTTATATCTCAAAGAGATTGGCTTAAGACACTATCCAGTCTTGTAAACCTCATCAGGATAACTGCTACTATTCCATCTTATTAGATCATAGTGATTGAGTTTACAACACATAAGGAAATCACATCAGACTACAGAATGGTACACAGTCATACAGTACTGGGAATCATGACCCAGCCAAGCTGACAGATATTTGGGGGGAACACAATTCAATCCATGACATGGACCAATAAGCAACATCATGATAAATGGAGAAAAGATTGAATTTGTCAAGGATTTCATTTTACTTGGATTCACAATCAACCCCCATGGAAGCAGCAGTCAAGAAATCAAATGACATATTGCATTGGGAAAATCTGCTCCAAAAGACCTCTTTAAAGTGTTAAAAATCAAAGATATCACCCTGAAGACTAAGGTGCGCCTGACCCAAGCCATGGTGTTTTCGATCGATTCATATTCATGCAAAAGCTGGATGATGAATAAGGAAGACTGAAGAAGGATGATAACTTTGAATTGTGGTATTGCCATAGAATATTAAATATACCATGGACTGCTAAAAGAATGAACAAATCTGTCTTGGAAGAAGTATAACCAGAATGCTCCTTAGAAGCAAGGATGGAGAGGTTATGTCCCACATACTTAGGACATGTTATCAGGAGGGATTAGTCCTAGGAGAAGGACATCATGCTTGGTAAAGTAAAGAGTTAGTGAAAAAGAGGAAGACCCTGAAGGAGATGGATTGACACAGTGGCTACAACAATGGGCTCAAGCATAACTAGGATAAAGAGCATGGCGCAGGACTGGGAAGCATTTCGTTCTGTGGTAGATAGGGTTGCTAAAAGTCAGAACCGACTCGATGGCACGTAACAACAACAACAACAACAAATTATTAGCTGAAGGAGCCCTGGTGGCGCACTGGTTAAGCATTTGAGTGCTAAGCAAAAGGTCAGTAGTTGGAACCCACCACCCCTCCTTTGTAGAAAGATGTGGCAGTCTGCTCTGTGAAAATTGCAGCCTGGGGAACCTTATGGGGAAATTCTGCTCTGTCTTACAACGTCACTATGAGTCAGAATCTACTTGACTGCAATAGGTTTTAATTATTAGCTGAGAGACACTAGAAACAAAATGGAACTTGTCTGGATCTGTTTCCTTGTCTATAAAATAGGGTTAAGTAAACCAGCTCATGGTGTGCATATAAGGATTAGCTGTAACAATGTGTGGAACAAGTGTCTGTCCCATTGCCTGGCACAGCAGAGACCCCTTAAACAGCAGCTATAAAATCATCATCATGTCTGTATAAAATGAAAAATATTTGAAAGTGGATGTGGTATAATAAAAACATCAAGAATATGATGACAGTGTCAGTCTGAATGACGCACGGCATATAGATCAAATAGTGACTTCTTCTGTTAATATTTGCATTCACTTTCTATTTCCCAGTTCTCAAAAGCTTATGGGCCTGTGTTCACTCTGTATTTTGGCATGAAGCCCACAGTGGTGTTGCATGGGTATGAAGCAATTAAGGAAGCCCTCGTTGATCTGGGAGATGAGTTTTCTGGAAGAGGTCATTTTCCAATAATTGCAAGAGCTAATAAAGAATTTGGTAGGTGTTCACGTGGGTTTCTTGGGCAGGGGTAAGGGCAGGTGGGAAAGACTGGAAAACAGAGATTGAAGACTTGCTCAGGAAGAACTGGGCCCATCTGCCTGGCTGCCTAGGTCAGAGTCCTCTTCCTTGCCCAGGATCTCCTACCTAACTTCTGTTCTCCCTCCTGGTAGGAGTCGTTTTTAGCAACGGACAGACATGGAAGGAGCTCCGGCGCTTCTCCCTCATGACCCTGCGGAATTTCGGAATGGGTAAGAGGAGCATTGAGGACCGCGTTCAGGAGGAAGCCCGCTGCCTAGTGGAGGAATTGAGAAAAACCAACGGTGGGTGATTCTTTACTCTGTAACACTGACCTTAACAGATGGCTCTCTTCTCTGTTGGGATCCTTGGAAACGTTTAAGGGGAGGCCAAGTCCTTCCTTGTGGGTAGGGAATGTCAGTCCACAGGTGGAGGAGGGAGGGTTTGAAGGAGAGAATAAGGGGGCTTTTGTACATGCTGTGTGTGTGGGTGCATGATTATAAACACTCTTTTACTCTTTGTCTTCAAATGAGAAAGTTATCAAGATAGGTTTTGAGCTTCATTTTCTTAGAGTTAAAAAGCAATATTTTGCCCTACAGTTATTGTGAGTTACCTATTCCAGAACATTTCACTGGGGAATACTTGTCAAGCGGACACTGTGATGTGACCTCATCACACCACTATGGACCATGAAGCAAGGGTTTTTTGCTTTCACTTTATTGGACAGCCTCACCGACTTGTCTGAGGGTTTCTGCCGTGGCCCAGGCTTGCATTTCTTACCAGGCATGATGCTGGTCTCTGGTTTTCATCGCCTAAAAAAAATAAAAAAACAAAGCAGTTGTCATGGAGTAGTGTCCAACTCATAGTGATCCCATAGGACAGAGTAGAACTGCCACGGAGGATTTCCAAGGAGTGGCTGGTGGAATTAAACTCCTGGCCTTTTGATTAGCAGCCCAGCTCTTTACCACTGTGCCACCAGGGCTCCTTTCATTCCCTAGGCATCTCTCAGAGCAATGCTTATCAGTTGTGACTCCCTGTAAACACAGGATTATTTTAAAATTATCAGCATGAATTACTTAATGTTACTGTCTACTAACTGTATTGATATTTGTATTTTAAGAAAACGTATGGTATGGCACAATTCTGCAAAATACACAAATGCCAGTTTATAAAATTATTTAAGTAGATTTCAATTATTATTAATAACTTTTTGCTCTATCTTCTGTAATGATAAGTTAGTTCTGTTTATCTTTGTTTATCTTTGTGTGCCCCGTAACTGGATTTTGGGTAGGAACATTTATGTTAATTATTTACCTCCCACTGTCAGCTCTTCTGACCTATAAAATGCATGTCACAGTAAGAGTGGTTTTCAGCTTTGATTCCAAATTACCCTGAATTTTTATTCTTGCTTTCAAATGAAGGGAAAAGAAAGATTAAAAATTAGATTTTAGCTTTGAACCACACACACACAAATATATCCCAAAAGATTCCCAAATATTCCTAACATCAAGCTATAATAAAATTTTCTTGAAAGCTTAGATCCCTGCAGAGTCTTGGGTTTCAGATACAACAGGAGAAGCTAGTTGCACAGGTTTCCTATTATCTGATACTCTATTATTCCTTCACAACACTTCTGATTCAATTTACCCTTAATTACGTCTATAGAGATGTATTTGCGGAATTTTTACACATAAAATTTATAGTTCATTTGATTAGAATAGTTTCATTTTACAAATCCTCAACCAAAAACTAATAAAACATTTCCTCTGCTTTAAATCCTTTCTCTGTAAAATGATGGAATTGACCTAAATGATGGTCAAATTTTAAAATTTACTATAACATAGTTATTCTGTAGATGGCTATATCTAGAGCAATATCCTGCAAGTCCACAAGAGGGCAAGCCTGGCAAAAAATTTAATTATGGGCTGATTGGGGATGAACCCCAAAAAGTCATTGAGTTGAGTCAATTCAGAATCATGGAGTCGCATAGGATTTCCAAGGCCCTCTCTCTCTGTGTACATATATACGTATGTATATATATTTAATGTATCTCTTAAGCAATTCTTTTTTTTTTAAATTCTATTGTGCTTTAGGTGAAAGATTACAGCACAAATTAACTTCTCATTTCAAAATTTATATATAAATTGTTTTGTGACATTGGTTGCAATCCCAGTAATGTGTCAGCACTGTCCCCCTTTCCACCCCGGGTTCTCCGTGTCCATTCGTCCAGTTTTCTTGTTCCTTTCTGTCTTCGATTTTGGGCAGGTTTTGCCCATTTGATCTCGGATGCTTGATGGATCTAAGAAGCACGTTCCTCACGTGTGTTATTGTTTGTTTTATAGGCCTGTCTAATCTTTGTCGGAAAGGTGGACTTGGGGAGTGGCTTCAGTTCTAAGTTAGCAGGATATCCTAGGGCTATAGTCTCAGGGGTTCTTCCAGTCTCTTTCAGACCAGTAAGTTTGGTCTTTTTTTTTTTTTTGGAATTCAAATTTTGTTCTATATTTTTCTCCTGCTCTGTCCAGGACCCTCTATTGTGATCCCTGTCAGAGCAGTTAGTGGTGATAGCCTGGCACCGTCTAGTTCTTTTGGGCTCAGGCTGGTAGAGGCTGTGGTTCATGTGGTCCATTAGTCCTTTGGACTAATATATTCCTTGTGCCTTGGATTTTTTCATTTTCCTTTACTCTGGATGGAATGGGACCAATAGATATATCTTAGATGGCTGTTCATAAGCTTTTAAGACCCTAGACACTACTCACTAAAGTAGGATGTAGAACATTATCTTATGAACTATGTTATGCCAATGAACCTACATGTCTCCTGAGACTGTGGTCCCCAGCCCTCAGCCCCAGTAACTTTGTCTCTCAAGGTGTTTGGATGTATCTAGGAAGTATCTATGAGTTTACCTTGGTCAAGCTGTGCTGACTTCCGCTTTATTGTGTGTTGTGTTTCCCTTCACCAAAGTTAACACTTGTCTATTATCTACTTAGTGATTCCTGCTCCCTACCCTTCTACTCCCTCATAATTATCAAAGATAGTTTTTTCGATGCATAAACCTTTTCTAGAGTTTTTATAAGAGTGGTCTCATACAGTATTTGACCTTTTGTGATTGACTTATTTCACTCACCATAATGCCCTCCAGATTCATGTACTTTGGGAGATGTTTCAAGGATTCATCATTGTTCTTTATGTTGTGTTCCAATGAGTGTATGTATCATAATTTGTTTATCCATTCATCTGTTGATGAGTACTTAGGCTGTTTCCATCTTTTTGCTGTTGTGAGTAACGCAAGGCTGTATATCTTTAAGTAAGTAGACTTCTGCATCTTTCTCCCTCGGAGCAGCTGGTGGATTCAAACCACTGACCTTCCCATTAGCTGCTGAGCACTTAACCACTGTGCCACCAGGACCCTTGATTGGAGATGATGGGAACTAATTCCCAGAGCAAGAAAAGATTCTTTTCCCAAACAGAAAGGAAGAAATAAAAAGATTCCATTTGTTAATCTATTTTTTCATTTTTTTGCCCTACATATCATTTAAGCATGAAATGAAAATTTCTCATTTTATTTTTATTAGGCAAACTATCTTCTTAGAATTTCTGTTTTTTCGTGTTAATCTTCCTACTCACACTGCAAGGAAGATTTTTTATTTTTTACATTTGTTCCTTTAAATACCTGAATTCACCTGTAAACACTCTCTTTAATCTTTCCCTCTGCTGGTTCTACAGAGGGTTCCTTTAAATATTCAGTATATATAAGAAGTGTTGAGGTCCCTAACTATCTTCTCCCTTCCCTTATGGGTGCTTAATTGTCAGCAGGCTTTGCAGACAGATGTGATTCTACAATCATAACTTAGATGATTGTTGTTGTTGATGTTGGCAACCTCATGTATAATAAAATAAAAACTTGCCCAGTGTGTCAGTACATCTCATTGAGGGTTTTCCTCATTTTTGCTGACCCTCTGCTTTACCAGATATGATGTCTTTATTTAGGGATTGGTCTTTCCTGATGACATGTATAAAATAAGCAAGACAAATTCTCACCATCCTCACTTTAGGAGCATTCTGCTTGTATTTCTTCTAAAACTGATTTATTCATACTTCTGTCAATCCATAGTATATTCAATATTGTTTGCAAACACCCCAATTTCCATGATAAATTCTTCTGTCTTCTTTTTTCATTGTCCAGCTTTTGCATATATATGAGGTGCTTGAAAGGACTATGGCTTCAGTCAGGATCACCTCAGTCATTAAAGTGATGTCTTTGCTGTTTAGAACTGTTTGCTGTTTAGGTTTTTTAGAAAATAGAATCTTATTTTTTTTTATTTTATCCTCCAAAATTATAGGCATGTTGATTTAGAATGGTGTAAATAAATGCAAGGAAAGTGAATGGAGTATTGGGAACATCATTATTAAACTAGGAAGTAAGGAATGGTCAATTCAGTTTGAAGAGATTGTAGGCATGCTGAATATTTAGCTAACAAGGAAATTTCTAGGTAGATGTTGCTTCAAACTTTCTAAAGTTATTTCAGTGACAAAGAGTTTTATATGTATATTTTAACACTATTTTTTTCACATTTCCAATTCTTTAGCCTCACCCTGTGATCCCACTTTCATCCTGGGCTGTGCTCCCTGCAATTTGATCTGCTCCATTATTTTCCAGAATCGTTTTGATTACACAGATCAGAGTTTTATTAATATAATGGAAAAATTTACTGAAAACCTCAGTATTCTGAGCTCTCCATGGATGCAGGTGAGACCAAGATCCTTTCTCTGAGAAGTGTGGAATTATATAATGGACCAAGCTGTTAAATGAATGTTTGAACATAAAAATCCTGGCCAGAGCTTAGCAACATGGAGTGAACATCTGGGAAATATAGCCAGGCACTTTATTTTACACAGAAGAAAATGAGTGCTCAGAATATAGAGCTCTCTTCAGTTCCATTGGATCCCTGCGCAGTGGTTTTTCTCCTAACCCCCAAAGCCCAGTTTCCATAAAGTACAATGGTGACTGCCCCAAAAGCATGCCTGTAGCACTCATTGGAGATCCAAGGCCCTTGTTGAAAGGCTTCCATTACCAATAAGGCTTGTCTTCCATTCAATACATAATGAGTTATTCATCAGATAAATTGTCAGAAATATTCTAACTTAGCATATCAAAGAGGGAGAATGTGTAGGACCACAGATGTTACTAAGGTAAGGTTGGTTATGCTTCAGTTGGGATCCTAGATGACAAAATGATTGGGGTTTACAGGATATAAACCATAAACAATCATCACAATTATACCCTGAGCTTAATTGGCATATCCTGCACTCTGCTTAGATGATAACTGTGTGATCTTAGAGAACTCACTTAGCTGCTCTGGAGCATAAGTATTTATCCATATAATGTTGAGTTAGGTATCATGGTATCTTCAATCTCCTCCCAGTTTTAAAACCTTGATTCTATTTCTATTTCGGCTTGATAGAAGTAGAAGGAGCCACGAGTAGCTTTGTGCTGTATATCGATCAGATTGCTTAGACTTCTTTAAACTCCTCTGTCCTCATCTATAAAATGTAAATCATAGTAATTCATGCCATTCATAATTCAAAGTTGTAGAAAAGTATTCATATAAAACATGAGAGGATTGATATAAAGATTCTTTTATACGATAGGAATAATGTATGAGTATCAGAAATGATGGTCATCATTGATCATCTGGTCCGTTTTCGCCTTGTATCTTTCCATAAGCATAGAGAAGGACTTTACATTTACAGTAAGAGGCTCCAGCTCTGGATGGAGACATTTTCTATTCATCTTTATAGCTCCACTTTTAACCAGGGCTTGGCACATCATAGGTATGTCTTCATTAAAAGATTTATATTTAATAAATGATTGTTTTCTCTTGTAGGTCTGCAATGCATTCCCCATACTCATTGATTATTTTCCAGGGAGTCATAACAAAATACTTAATAATATTGCTTATACAAAGAATTATGTTTTGGAGAAAGTGAAAGAACACCAAGAAACCTTGGACATTAACAATCCTCGGGACTTTATCGATTGTTTCCTGATCAGAATGGAACAGGTAAGATGTTAGAGTCAGTTCAGTTATATATTGCTTGTACATTTTGTGGTTCATTGCATAGTTCTGTACTTATTAGGGATGGTTAAATGGTCAGGCAAGAAATTCTTGACAAGCACTTTTAGTACCTAGGTGTGCATCGATCTGCACTAAGCATCATAGAATAGATTAAAATTGAATTGTTAAATAATTAGAGTACATAGACCTTGTTCTTTAGGTACTAATAATCTACCTGAAGAGAAACCAAATACACATCTCAGGTGAAATAGAATCAATTACAAAGAAGGCAAAATATAGGAAATATCATGCCACCAAGTGAAGATGCAAATGATCATTGCTCACAGTAAGAAGAAAAGGCTTGACCTAGGTAAACTTTCCGCATGTCCTGAGGTTTGATATAGATTTTAATATATTTTCAGTGAGGGACATGAAACAGCATTACAAATGGGTTGAATGGTGTATTCAGAGGATAACAAGTGTGCGATGTCAAAGAGATAAAGGAGATGGAAGAGCAAAACCTTCATTGAGTATTTTCAAACATGAATTTGGACAGATAGGGAATTAGATGTTGGTGTCTTTCAGGTAACCTGTAAATATAAATGCTGGCATGGAAAGATTTGATCTGATCAGGTAGGTAGATTATGAGTCATAACAGGACAGAATGCAGATAATTATTAGGGAAATTATCCTGGTACCTGTAGAACAATCTATAAGAATGCAGCTCAAGGACCACCTGGGAGATTATTCATTTATTTAGACTTGGTCTCAATGAGAGTGTGGACCTTGGAATTGCAGAGGTGTCTGAAATAAAATGAAAGTCGTCCATTTTGTCATGTTCTCGGAGATCTAGGAAGAGAATCAATGAGGCAGTGCCAACAAAGTCAAAGAAGAAGCAACATTTTAGAAGAAGTGGATCAAATAGAATAGGAAAGTGAAGAATATTGTACTTGGAAAGGCCTGTGAATTTTGTTAAGAGTTTGTGTTGGAGGAGCCCTATAGAGTGTGGTTTTAGTAGAAAGGGGAGGATAGGAGCCAAATTAGAGGGGTTTGTATATGAAATTTCAGTCATGAGACAAGATGTCATGTTTGACAAGTTTAGCAAAGAGAGAATGATTTGGATGCTTAATTTGAATAATGATGAAGTCAAGGTGAAAATCTGTGTAAGAAGAGAAATATAGATGCCATAAAGATATGTGCTTAGGCACAAGGTTCTGTTTGAAACAGGGAGAGGTAGAATTCAGAACACTCTGGTAAGTGCTAACTCTGATAGATATTTCTTCCTCTGGAGCCACCATGCTGTATTCAGCCACTTTTTTCAGCATTGGGCAGAAAAGAGAAATCGGTAGTAACCCAAAATGGGAAGGAGTGAAATACTGAAGGAAGTAATATTCAAAGAATTATCCATGGATTTGACCTGGACTGCTTAAATCATATGTTCCAGATGAAATGCAGTGAAGGAGATGGAGTGGTTTGAAGAAAGTGGGGGAAGGAAATAGTAAATTACTTCCTCTGTCAGCCTTCGCTGCTGCTAGGGCAATGATTTTGATCCTTTCCTGTGGTCCAATTATTTTGAGAATCTGATTCAAGTTGTGGACATTTTCTCAGAAATGTGCACACCAGTTGTACCTGAATGATTTTTACCAATGCACCTACAGGAGATCCAGTATTTTGCTCACATTTAAAGGGGATTACTCAATGCTTTGAAGCATCTCCAGTTATCCTAGGTTATGGAGGGCTCTAAGATCTCTGATACTTCAATTACAAGGTAGCCGTGAGTTGGAGGCAACTCGACGGTAGCTAACAACGACGATTACCTCAATGCAGTATTTAAAAACAGCATTGTTTTTCTGAGCCTCACTAATGTATTGAGTCTAGATTAATTTTTTTGTTAAACTTAAATTGAGATATAATTCACATACCACACAATTCATCCATATAGAATGTATAATTCAAAGGTTTATAGTTTATTCAGAGTTGTGCAGCCATAACCACCATCGATTTCAGAATAGTTTCATCAACCTGAAAACCACATACGCTTTAGCAGTCATCCTCCATTTTCCCACAACCCTCCTAGCTCTGTGAATTTTGGGATAAGCTTATCAATTTCTTCAAAAGAAGACAGTTTGGATTTTGATAGGGATCTCATTAAATCTGTAGATGTATTATGGTAGTAATGCCATGTTAGCAATATTAAGTGTTAAGATCCGTGAACATGAAATGTCTTTCCACTTACATAGGTGTTCTTTAATTTCTTTCAACAAAGTTTGGTGTAATCTATCTTAATTTTGATAGGCTATGAACACATAACCACTGAATCTCCAAATTCACTTGAACAGATGACAATATTAATATTAATTTATAAGTACTCTCCTCCTTTCTTGCTTTAGAGTAATTTGAGTTGATGAGCTTAGAAAATAATGAAATTATTGTTACCAAGGGAGATAACTAGATTTGTCTAGCATGTACACCCATTGATAGGGGTAAGTCAGTCTTAATAGGGTTAACTGCATGATGTTAGACACGCCACAGGTCACCAGGACATTATAAGGGCATCATTAAAATAATGCTGGTCTTGTGTACTGGTTAGGAAAAGAGTTTTCCTTTAGCTATGTTAATGACCCCTTCCAGTCACTATTTCAAACTTCTCTTTTTTTTCCTCTGTTCAGTGTCCCATCATCATCCCCTAGTCCTAAATCAGCATTACTTGTTCTTGTCAAGTGCTTTTCCTCTTCCAGCTTCCAATCCATGAGAGCTCCATTCAGTCAATTCCTTAGTCTCAGCACCTGCATTATCCTCATTCTCTCTTTCACCCCTTAGGGAGAGTTAATGCCCTAACTCTCTGTCTTCACGTTTGTTGAGTCTCTTTAATTTGTATATTCCAGTCCATTTCTGCAGTTGTTCAGTAGACCAAGTTATCTCTGGCATTGCTTCTGGAATACAGTCGTGCTGTCCATCTTGTCTTTATGAATGTGTTTTCTTTCTCTATAATTCATCTTGGCTGTGCTACCATATAAACTTTACACAATTAAACTTCATGATGAGTTTTCAAGCAATACTGAGTGCATATAAATACTTTATAAGAAGAAGATAATTTCAAACTCTTGATTCAGGCTTATATCTCTCATGATAAGTCCCCAATTTACATATGTCTATCAATTAAAATTGTGTTTTCTCTTCAATTAAAGGGAACCCCAATTAACAACAGCTTAATCATATAGTGGGTTTATCTCACATTTATCTCACAAGGAGCCTCATTTTGGGCAGTCCAAGCAAGTATAAGAGCCCCGAATCATCAAGGAGTCAAGTGTCTTCCGCTTGCCTTCACCAAACTTAGTATATAGGTGTTTATCTTCATGCTTCAATCCTCATGTCCCAAGATGATGTCTGCCCCACCTGCACCTGCACATCTGGGTTTTGAGGAAGAAGTAGGAAAGAGAAGAAGTGGTACCAGGGGGGTTTTGCTTATACCTCATTGTTGTATCGCCCACATGACTGCTAAAGAGGCTGTGAAAGGAAATTATCTTTCAAGTACATAATAAAAGGTTAGAAAATAAAGATTGGGTCAATTCATCTACAATCTCTGCCATGCCATACACTGGTTTATTTTATGAAACTATACTTCCAGTTTCTAAGTTTATTTAACTTTAGAACAACCTGAATTGTTTTGGATGCATTGTAATTAAATATGCTGGCAAACTAATTTGTCAACATTGTGTCAAATCATTCCTAGGAGAAGCACAATCAACAGACTCAATTTACTACTGAAAATTTGTTAGCCACGGTAGGTGATCTGTTTGCAGCTGGGACAGAGACAACAAGCACCACCCTGAGGTACGGACTCCTGCTTCTGCTAAAGCACCCGGAGGTCACAGGTACGACCACAGATGGTGGGCAGGGTGAAATTCAGAAAGGAAGTTGGCAAGACACAGCTAGGGTTTTCCATCATGCTTCTCTTAGAGAAGCCTCATTATTTAAATTTCTGTGCCACCACGTGTAATTTATCTAAATTTGATGAAGAGATAAAAATAAGACAACTGCACAATAGAGGAGTTTCTTAGTTATCTAGTGCTGGTATAACAGAAATACCACAAGTGAACGGCTGTAGCGAACAGAAATTTATTCTCTCACTGTTTAGGAGGCTAGAAGTCCAAATTCAGGGCATCAGCTCCAGGGGAAGTTTTTTTCTCTCTGTTGGCTCTGGAGGAAGGTCCTTGTCATCAATCTTCCCCTGGGACTAGGAGCTTCTCAGTGCAGGGACCCCAAGTTTAAACGACATGCTCTGCTCCTGGCTCTTCTTCCTTGGTGTTAATGAGGTCCCTATCCTCTCTGCTCATTTCTGTTTTTTATATCTCAAAAGAGATTGGCTCAAGATACAACCTTAATCCTGTAGATTGAATCCTGCTGCCTCATTAACATAACTCCCTCTAATCCTGCCTCATTAACATCATAGAGGTTAGGATTTACAACACCTGGGATAAACTCATCGGATCACAAAATGGTGAAAAACCACACAATACTGGGAATCATGGCCTAGTCAAATTGACACATATTTTTGAGGGACACGGTTCAGTCCATAATAGGGAGGGGACTGAAAGAAGGGAAGGACAGTGTGAGCAGCAGTAAAAATGATAAAGCTATGGTGTGATGTCAGGATTCCACTGGAGGGGACTTGCAGCAGGAAAATTTCAGGAAGGCTACTGGGCACCAGGCCTAGAAAACAACCAGTTCTCAATGGACTGGGTGGATAAAGCAAGTGTGAGGGAAGACACTAAAAACAAAGGGGACGTCATCAATTATCTGAGGTATCCCAATAATTAAGAGATTATTACTAGGGAGTTCAAACATCCAGACTTTCCTGAGCATCTGGAAATCATTCTAAATTTGCATTTAAGCAATTAGTAATGAAATAAAGAGACACTTTTAAATCAGAGTGTATAAAAATGAAATATAAGCATAGTTATAGCAGGAAACAATATTTATGTAGTCATAATGATATAAAAAAGAGTATTGATATAACTAAAAATGGTGATCTCAATATAATGTAAAATAGGGTGGTAAAAGTATGTATGAGTGCGTGTGCATATGTGTGGGCGAGTGTGTGTGCATGCATGTGTGTGTGTGTTTTTTGTATGGGGGTGAGGCAAACTTGTAAATCCTCATCTCCCATACACGGTTGTTGTTGTTGTTGTTAGGTGTTATCAAGCTGGTTCCAACTCATAGGGATACTATGTACAACAAAATGAAACACTACCTGATTCCGTGCGATTCTCACAATTGTAGCTCTATTTAAGCCCGTTGTTGTAGCCACAGTGTCAATCCATCTCGTTGAGGGTCTTCCTTTTTTTCACTGACCTTCTACTTTACCAAGCATAATCTACTTCTTCAGACCGAGTCCCACCTCTTAATATCTCCAAAGAACTTGAGACCATGGGTAACCCCACTGGTATTTGAAATACTGATGTTATAGCTTCCAGCATCATAGCAACACAAAAGCCACCACAGTACAACAAAATGACAGACTGGTGGTGGTATGTATAACTTCATTGTTGCAATTCTCTCTCTCTCTGTCTAGGTGTACTTCAGGGCGTGTAACTTATGTTTCTAATGATATGGGGACAGTTTCATAATGCTTCATGTAATGCTGACTTTTTATGTCAAATGTGCCAATTTTCTCCTTTTCATCAGTTCTTACTTATGCCTTATCAGCTAAAGTCCAGGAAGAGATTGACCATGTGATTGGCCGACACCGGAGCCCCTGCTTGCAGGACAAGGGAAGCATGCCCTACATGGATGCTGTGGTGCACGAGATCCAGAGATACATTGACCTCATCCCCATTACCATGCCCCATGCAGTGACCTGTGACATTAAATTCAGGAACTACCTCATCCCTGAGGTAAGATTTTTTTCTCCTAGTGCTCTTAAAGTCCCCACATTTGCAAAAGAGGCACAAGCTAGACATTCCTATTACAAAAGGGAGAAACTGGAGGAAAAGAAGGGATAACAGGCACCAAGCAAGTCAGCAGAACACATTACGTTAACCCTCAAGGCTTTGAAAATAATCTTCTGTTCTCTGAGACAATTTACACAATGGCCCTCCCATCTAGACCCTAGGTATTGGCCACACTCTCCAGATTCTGAGTGGAGGCCCCTCGGCCCTGGGCTTCAGCTCCACCTTCCAGGCCCACTGGGAGGGCCACTCTGCTCCCTTGGCTTTAGGCGCACCATTCTCCTACTCCATCTGAGTGGCAACTCCATACTTAGAAACACCAGAGGCCATGACTTCACCCTTTGGAACCCCTGAGGTCCTGGCCATACCTTTTGAGATTGAGGCAGCTGAGCTTCTTGTGTTCCTTGTCTCTTTAGCTTCTGCTTCCCGTGGCCTCTTGGCCCTCGAGCCTCATGCCCACATTTGCCCTGCTGGGGCAAGTGTTCCAAAGCTCAGTAGCTCCACCGATAAGTGCCCAGAGGCACCTAGTCTGCCAGGAAGCCTCCTGCACACAGGCACATGGCTCTCTCGTTCTGTGGGTCAGCTCCAGCACTGTTCAGCAGTGGTCTCCCGGTTCTGCTGCTGCTGGTTCTCTGCTGCTGTTGCTTCTCTGCTGCTGCAGGTTCTCTGCTACTGCTGGTCCTCTGCCGCTGCCACTCCTCTATCCATTCACAGTTTCAAAACCTCTTCCACATTTTAGGTATGTGTTAGAGCAGCACCCTACTCTCTGTACCAAATGCCTTAGGCTGGGTTCTCTAGAGATGCAAAACCACTCAAGTGTATAAATATATATAGAGAGAGATTTTTATCAAGGAAACAGCTCTTGTTCTAGAGGCTAGAACATCTCAAGTCCGTGGATCAGGGTAGAGGCCTCTCCCAATTTATGGAGCCACAGAAGCTGGCAAGCCCAAGATCGGCAGGTCGAAGAGCAGGGCTCCCACTCACAGGCTGTGAAGGTTGACGAATTCCAAGATTGGCAGGCAAGACCACAAGGTTTCTCCTGATTTACGTAGCTGCAGGGGCTGGCGAACCCAAGATTGGCAGGTCAGAAAGCAGGCCCCACTCACAGGCTATGAAGATAGATGAATCCCAAGTTCTGCAGATAAGCTGACAGCTCAAGTCCCAAGAACTGGAGGTGAGACAACAGGAGGCAGCTGTAGGATCCAGACAGAGCAAACAGCCAGAACATCTGCTTATATTCAGATGCAGGCCACATCCCCAAGGAAACTCCCTTTCATCTGATTGGCTACTCACAGTATATTCAATCATGGGAGTGATCACACCTAAACACAGAGAATCATGGCCCAGCCAAGTTGACACACAGTCTTAACCATTACACTACCAATCTATTTGGGCTTTCTTTAATCTTCTCAATAATGCTTTGTTTTCAGTGCAGTGGCTTGTACATCTTTTGTTAGCAGCTTTCCAAGGCATTCTAATATGTGGCATAACTTCTGTTATGCTCAAGCTACTCCATCCCACTTGAAGCCAGCACATACTGTTATTATAGTAAATTAAGAGAACTGAAAATTCTGTTTGAGGGAGAGTAGACTTGTGAGTTTGGTAAGGTTTCAAAAACTGTCTCTAGTTTCAGATGACATAATCCTATACATGTAGAAGATTCCAAACAATCTGCAAAAGTAGCTTCGAAAGCTAATAAACAAATTCAGCAAATTTGCAGGTACAAGATCAATATGCAAAAACCAATTGTGTTTTTACAAACCAGCAATGAAACACCAAAACATCTGCTAACAAGCCAGACACAAAATGTCACATGTTAAATTATTTCATTTTTATGAAATATCTATAATAGATAAATCCATACAGACAGAACACAGATTGGTGGTTGCCTGGGGTTGGGGTAGGGATAACGGTGATAAACTTAACACGTAAGGGGGCTTACTTAGGAGTAATGGTACTGTTTTGGAACTATATAGAGGTAGAGGTCGCACAACATCGTGAATGTACTAAATGCCACAGAATTGTTCGCTTTAAATGGTTAATTTATGTTATATGAATTTCACTGAATGATTATTAAAAACAAATAAAAAAACAGATAGCAGGTGGGATTCGGGCCTCCCATGGGCTGTGATTTGTTGACAACTGGTTTAAGCCAGCCATACCCATAGAACTTTCTGCAATGATGGAAATATCTTCTATCTGTGCTGTATAATACAGTAGCCAGTTCCTGAGTACCTGAAATGTGATTAATGCAACTAAGGAACTAAATTTTTAATTTTATTTATTTTTAATTGGTTTAAATTTAAATATTATTAACAATGTACACCTAATGGTTAGAAATCCCTCTTCCTTATTCTGCAATACTAAAAGTTATGTAAAATTTTTTTAAAAGTATGCTTGGTACAATTTCATTTGGTGGCCAAACCAGAGTTTAACTGAAGTGAAGCTATTTATATTCCTTATTTACCTCACTTAGCTTCAATATTCATATATATTATCTAAAAAAATCAGTATGTGTGTATATATATAAATATATGGTGCTATCTCACACTCTATTGGGATTACATAAAATCTACAGCAAATAAATAATAGTTCTTTTCTAAGAAGTCAAACAATTGTTAACTTGGAAACACATACCTCTCCAGGAGTTTCAGACAAGAGACTGTGTACTTATAACTCCAAGAAGGCAAATGTTCATATTTTATAGGCTGAAACAGAAAAGCAGGGAGAGGCTAAAAATGTCCCCCTACAGATAATTGTGAGATGGTTGTATAGACAACTTTGTGGAAGGATAAATTATTTCCTCTAAGTTGCAGAATGGGCATTTGTTTTTCATTTACCCAAATTATGGTTCTTTCAGGTTTTCAGTTTCCTATTTCCCAGCCAGGAAAATGCATAATGAGAATGACAGTTGCAGGTTTAGGGCAGAGGGTGGATGAGAGCATCACCTAAGTGGAAAGGGGATTTTTCCCCCTTTGGCTTTTCTGTGCATCAGGTAGAGTCTTCTTGCCAAATATGTCCTGGGACTGGAAGACTGAAGTAGGCATTCAGAAATGCAAGGCAACGTGGTGCAAGAGTCATGAGGAACTCAGTAGGAACACTGGCTCTGCTACTCTTATGTATAACTCCGGTAAAATTCTTAACCCTTTGAGCCTCGGTTTTTTTCATTTGTAACCTGTTGATAATACCTACTTTATTTCCCGGAGTAGGATGTTGCAATTAACCCAGGCAATATATGCAAAACGCAAGCTACCTGTGTTGTTGTTAGGTGCTGTCAAGTCAGTTCCAACTCATAGCGACCCTATCTATGTACGACAGAAGGAAACACTGCCCAGTCATGCGTCATCCTCAAAATCGTTGCTGTGTTTGAGCCCATTGTTGCAGCCACTGTGTCTTGATGTATTTTATGTTTTTAATCAAGATTTAAATTATGTAAAGTAGAACTCACCCTTTTAAGTGTATGTTCAATGAGCTTTGACTGTTACATAACCACCACAATCAAGATATAAAGCATTTCAATCACTGTCCCCCCAAAAACTTCCCTCATGCTCCTGTTGCAACTGATCCACTCCTACGGCCTACAGTTTTGTCTGTCTGTCCCTGTAGGTTTGCCATTTTAAGAATGCTATATAATGACATGTGACATAAATGGAATAGTTTATAATAAGTCGGAACTCTTTATCTCTTTTTTTTTCAGAATGGAGAATAAAATTCGTTATAGGTGAAATATATGACAATTTCCTTATAAATTGATCACTAATATTCTGAGGATAAGAATATACAAGGGTCAGTGAGTCATGGAAAAATTTTGTATAGAATATCTAAAACATATTCAGAAAATCTGTCACCCAGATACTCATTACTTCCATTATTATTGGAGGTCACTTTTGTAATATCATTATCCCTAGATATGATATGTAATATCATTATCCCTAGATATGTTATGATATGTAATATCATTATCCCTGTTTATTACTTTATCTCTCTGGGTGGAAATATAACTGCCTTTCTTTGGATGTGGGTTTCCTCATCTATAGATCAAAGACATTAAGCTAAGTAATGTCCAACATTTCTACCAACTCCATGGTTTCTACATAACTAAGTTCAATGATACCTATTCATCCTAGGGCACGAACATATTAATATCATTGTCTTCTGTGCTGCACGACAACAAAGAATTCCCCAACCCAGAGATGTTTGACCCTGGTCACTTTCTGGATGAGAGTGGCAACTTTAAGAAGAGTGACTACTTCATGGCTTTCTCAACAGGTAATAAAAATTTATATCCATCTGTAATTCAGGGAACAGGATACCTGTATGAGATCAGTTGAGACTTTCATGGTGCCTACTCTGGGGCTAGCAGAATTGCTACTTGTACGTGATCATGGACATCACTCCCAATGCCATATGCTTTCCCATTCATGAAAAATTCTCATTATTGAGCCAGAGCAGTGAGTCTCTGGGGATGTGACCCAGTTCTCCCAAAGTGAGAAAGTTAGGGAATGAGTTGATTGAATTATGTCTCCAGATACATCAGTGAATTACCCAATAGCATCTCCTACAGGGTGAAACTCATTTAGATTACTTGCACCTTTCTTAAGAAAGATATCTAATGCCACAAATTTATTGTTTTCTGTGTGGACCCCTCACCCCCACCTCTACGCCCACCCTTGCCCCAGACTGAGCTCTAGTGATTCAAATATCCATGAACACAGAATGGGCACTCAAGGGCCTCACTCACTCCCCAGTTAGGAAAGTAAATGAATAAACAGATCATTATAATGCAATATGACTAGAGCTGTGAGAAAGGGAATCACAGGCTGCTTGGGGGACAAAATGGGGAAGCTGCCAACTTCCTGCTCTCGCATACCTCACAGTAAGGCATAAAATGGAATAAGCAACATTCTAATAATAGCAATGAAATATGAGCTGCCTCACAAGGGCAGGGAGCAAAGAAAGAAGAAAGGGCAAGGCATTTTTCAAAAAATTGTGGTAGTGTATATATATGACAACGTTTTTGAGATGTACAATTTAGTGACATTATTATGTTCATCATGTCATACAACAATCACCTGATGATCACTTCCAACTTTTTCTATCACCCTTAACAGAAAGAAGCTCAGTACCCCTAAGCAACGACTCTCTCTTTCTCCTTCCTTCCCATCCCTAGTAACCACTAATAAACTTTGGTCCTTTTACATTTGCCTGTTCTACATATTTCATCTAAGTAGGATCATGCAATGTCTGCCCTTTTGTGACTGACTTATTTCAGTGAGCATAATGTTTTCAATTTTCATCCTTGTTGGAGCATGGACAAGGACTTAATTTCTCTTTATGGCAAAGTAATATTCAGTTTTATGAATGGACCACATTTTGTGTATCTGTTCATCTGTTGATGGACATTTAGTTTGTTTCTACCTTTTGGCTTCTGAGATCAGTGCTGCAATGAACACTGGTGTGCATTTATCTGTGTATGTTCCTGCTTTCAGTTCTTTTTTTTTTTTTCTTGCTGTAATCTTTTTTTTTTTTTTATTGTACTATAGATGAAGGTTTACAGAACAAATAGTTTCCTATTAAACAGTCAGTACACATACTGTTTTATGACTTTGGTTAACAACCTCACGACATGTCAACACTCTCCCTTCTTGACCTTGACCATGGAGAACCTTTTTTTTTTTTTTTTGGTGAAAACATACATAGCAAAAGATATACCATTTCAAAAATTTCTACATGTACAATTCAGGGACATAGACTACATTCTTCCAGTTGTGCTGCTATGCTCACTATCCTTTTCCAAATTATTCCATCACCATTATCTTCAACTCACTGTCCCCTAGGCTTCCCATCAAACCTTTTGAGTTGCTGTTGTCAATTTGATCTCACATAGATAATTCTTTTTTTTGTACTTTAGATGAAGTTTTACAGAACAAACAGTTTCTCATTAAACAGTCTGTACACATATTGCCCTATGACAATGGTTAACAACCCCATGACATGTCAACACTGTCCCTTCTCAATATTGGGTTCCCTATCACCAGCGTTCCTGTCCCCTGCTGCTTTCTAGTCTCTGTCCCTGGACTGCTGTGCCTCATTAGTCCCGTTTTGTTTTATGGGGCTGTCCAATCTCTGGCTGAATGGTGAACCTCGGGAATGACTTCATCACTGAGCTAAAAGGGTGTCCTGGGGCCATACTCTCAAGGTTTCTCCAGTCTGTCAGGCCAGTAAATCTGGTCTTTTTTTGTGTTTTAGAATTTTGTTCTACCTCTTTTCCAGCTCTGTCCAGGACCCTCTGTTGTGATCCCGGTCAGAGCAGTCAGTGGTGGTAGCCGGGCACCATCAAGCTGTACTGGACTCAGTCTGGTGAAGGACTTGGTTGCTGTGGTGTATTAGTCCTATGGACTAATCTTTTCCTTGTATCCTATTCTCTTCATTCTCCCTTGCTTCCAAAGGGGTGAGGCCAGTGGAGTATCTTAGATGGCCGCTCACAGGCTTTTAAGACCCCAGACACTACTCACCAAGGTAGAATGTAGACCATTGTCTTTATAAACTGTGTTATGCCAATTGAGCTAGATGTTCCCCAAGACCATGGTCCCCACAGCCCTCCGCCCAGCATTTCAGTCCCTCAGGGAGTTTGGATGTTGCTATGGAGCTTCCATGACCTTTTCTTGTACAAGGTGTACTGTCTTACCCTTCACCAAAGTTAGCACTTACCTATTGTCTGTTTAGTTTTCCCCCAATCCCTCCCATCCCTCATAACCAACAAAGATTATTTCTTTTTGTTTGTAAACTTTTTCGTGAGTTTTTACAGTAGAGGTCTCATACAATATTTGTCCTTTTGTGATTAACTTATTTCACTCAACATAATGTCCTCCAGTTTGATCCATGTTATGCTTCACAGATTCATCATTGTTCTTTATCGTGGCATAATCCTCCATTGTGTATATGTACCATAGTTTGTTTATCTATTCTTCTATTGATGGGCATCTAGGTTGTTTCCATCTTTTTGCTATTGTGAACAATGCTGCAATGAACATGGGTGTGCATATGTCTGTTCATGTGATGGCTCTTATTTCTCTAGGATATATTCCTAGGAGTGGGATTGCTGGATCGTATGGTATTTCTATTTCTAGCTTTCTAAG